GTGAATTGGTTAGTGGAGAAAATCCGCGCAAAGGGAAGCATTTACACACATACCCAAGAGATTGGGAGGGCGTGGCTGCATGGCTGCATACTTCACGTGAACTTGGCAGGAACAGCGTTTCTGGTGGGATGTTTCCGCGTTGAGACAATTGTCATGTCTTTGTTCAGCACAGGACAGGATGACAGTTGTCTCAAGTGGAAACATCCCACGAAAAACGCATCCTACCCAAGATCTAGTTACGTTGCCACCTTTCCATCCGTGATATGGGTGGAAGTATCGAGCTGGAAAATACGCATTTTCCGGGAGTGCGCGAACCAGGAGAACGCATAATTCGCTGGTAGGCACTGTCAGTCGATTCCATTGTCGCGCATACTCCGAAATCGCAGATGGCAAGTCGATACGTTTGCTTTCCTCCGTGCGGTTTTTTCTCCTAAATCGCGAATTCTCCACATTTCCCAAATAGATGACTGCGGGGATTCTCAGGGGAATGACGTCGTGACACGCTCCTGTCTTCCCTTCTATAGAGGGGAAGAATGAGACAAGCTAAGGGGCGCGCCAATGGTGTAGGTTCCTGGCCCCACCCACCTGGCATTCCAAGCGGGCAGTTAAGAAGTCTGCTGATCTTTCATTGGTTGCCGCATAAAAGCAACCAATCAGAATTCAAAACTCCTCTCACGCGTCAACGAATAGCGCACACTCGTTTCCCACTGGTTTATCTTCACTTCTTCATATCTGTTCAAATAACTCGTCATTTATACATAAGTGCACTTATAATTTGTTATATTACTGACCAATCAATGGTCTCATTGTGTCACCACCTTCATGTACATATTTCTTCGTGTGTCTTTGTGGCTTCATCACTGTGCCAATTCCCATCGATTCTGTACCAAATCTATTCGGGACCGCGTTTGCTCAATTGAGCGCTGATTATATCGGTTTTCACTAGTCTACTCTGCATTTAAGTGACATTTAGAAAGATTTTATTACATTCTTGTTCCATTGTTCTACGGTAACCTCAGAAGGCATACCATATTAAATTTAATGAACATTATAAGTAAATGCTATTGTGAGAAAGGTGCTAAATAATGACTACCCATGACTCCAGATCAACTGCACTATCAAGATATTCATCACATCTGAAATCCTATCGTAAAATGCAAAGTAAAGGATGGTACGGATTATGAGCTCTGCCTACTTCGGACGAGTTACTCCCTATCATATCTGGGACATCAATAGAGTCAAAGTTCCCATAGCATTGTTCATGGTTGAAACCGTACAGGAGAATCGGAAAAATGAAGAATTAGGCGCATCCTTAACAAGAATTGATGCGTATCGATGGGAAAAATCGTAACTTTCCGGTTCTCGCGATCAATATGTAATTATTCATTTTGTCGTTTCTCCACTGTAGACTCTGAACAATACTTTAGAAGGAACAAAACACTTAAAACAACAAAACACTTCGCAACTCGTCCGAAATGACTAAGGCACAGTTCGACATTCCAAGAGGGGGGAGCATTTTGCACTTTCGCTGTTTCCCATCGACGTGTCGAGCCTGCTAGCCAAACATTTTGGAGACCACTTGCCAACTCTTGCAAAAGCACGACGATGGGAAAGTAGCGGAAGTGCAAAATGCACAAATGCACACCTTCCCCTCCCCCCCCCCCCCCCAGCCGAACTGCTCCATGACGTCGTAATCAACGTGCTATGCCTAGCCTATTGTTAGTGCTCGGTTGTATGCATCTTCACAAACTCTCAACAAAATAAAAAAAAACAACAAGGGACAGCATGGAAAATGTGATATAAAATCTCCCACCATAAATAAGTACATTTTGAGATATTTCATAAAATTGTAGATATTATAGCATTTTGTGAATCTCAGTCATTCATTAATAAATCATCAATAAATACTCATCATCATCAGTAAATACTTGTGTAATTATGCTTCCTGATGGTCACCTATGAGGTTCAATCATCAGATGATATGGAAAGTTTTCAATTATTATATCACCGACATAAAGGACAATTATTATTCCGGGTACCATAAAGTATACACAATAAATATAACAACTCCCACGTTTGGAAAATTTGACGTTCATCCTACAGCTCTGACTAGAGCAACTTCTTGTCGTTGATTCCGAGCGCTTTGAGCCGTTCCACCTCCTCCTGTATACCTTTCATGTTTGCATCCATCGATTCTGGAAAGATCAAACATTTGAACACACTTCGAAAATTCTCCTGAATCTAAACCCAACGTCTTTTGGATGCATGGGATTGCTCAAAGACGGTTCCCGCGATTAAGTCACCCGTGAATTGCCTCGGTGCACTTGGCATTCGGATCTGCACTCGCATAGATGGCCCACTTTTTCCACTCGAAATGAGGAGATAAAGAGGCTACAGACGCGTGACAATTGCAACCTCCATTATTTTCACGCTGCAAGACAACGCACGATTTCCTATGGTGGTCCATGAGAACTTTGGCTTGCCGACTCTGCGAGTATAAGAATTGCTCTGCTTTCCCTAGATACCTTTTTGAAAGCAATATCTCAGTGGCAGTCACCTTCAAAGGGTTTTTGAAGACTGTTTCATAATTTTTGCTTCCGTTTTTTTCTTCTCGGTTTTAGATGACATTCAGTACTAGAGAACGCGAAGAACGTCCCATGAGCTAGGGTTTCCACAGAAGCCGCAGGGTGTCGTGTTCAATGAGGCTGTGTGACTGTTATGGGTAGGGGGGTTTCGTCTCAAGTGTTCTCA